TTATTTAGAATTATTAATTTAGTTTCTTAATTTAATTTCTTAATTTAATTTCTTACTTTAATTTATATTATTAATTTTCTTAGAGCAGCCAAAAAAGCGTGCACTAGTAGAGGTGGTAGTAAGAAAATTTCAAAAAGAACAAGAGGTGGTGTTGGTTCTTCTAGTAGCTTTACACATATTTCTGAAAGTCCACCTGAAAATTTAAATGTAGATTACAAGCGAAAGCAAGAAAATTATGGTGTAGATGATGATTTAGATGCTTTGTTTGTTGATATTCAATCACCCGATAATCGTGAAACACCACCTCCTACATCTGGTAATGCTAGTCAAACTCAAAATGTTAGGGGTGCAACAAGTAGGCCTCTCTCCCTATTAAGAAGAATCAACAATTAAGAAGTAAGTGTTGAATGTTTTTTGAAAGACTAGAAGATCAAAAAAATTATGTAAAATATAAAATTTATAGTGAACATTATAAACATGAGCCCGATAAAGGAGGAGGAACGGGTCAACTTCGTAGGCATATAGAATAGAAACACCCTCTTGATTGGAGCCCGACCCGCCCGAGACCGTTTGAGCCCTAACCCGTATGGGCCCACAAAAACCCAAAAAAACACAGCCCACTAAGAGCCCGTTATCCCCAGCCCGCTAACAGCCCGCCCGCTAACCGAACGGGCTGAGATTTTTACCGTTCAGCCCGTCCAAGCCCGCCCGATAAACACCCATAGTATACAGTTTGAAGCTAAACTGAAACAATACCCACAGGCAGTAGGTGCAAATAAAACAGACTCATCAATTATCTCAAAGTGTTCACGATCAAATATATTACCTCGGAGCTTCTCAATCATCACAACATTCCACATTCTATTGATCTTTTAGCTTAAAGTAATACATTTCACTTTTTTCAGACCTCAAAAACATTACTTGATATGTCAAGATGACATGAAATAGCATCAAGCCACCACTCTCATAGTTCACTTTTGCTAACGTGCATCAATTACAATAACAATCACATCACTTGGTTTTATAAGTTGGACTTTGACTTCAAAATACTAAAAAGAATAATATCATTAATATTCGGATGCAAATTATTTACTATACAATAGCAAGGACAAAAGCTTCCATCGGTAGCAGGAGATTTAACTGTGCCATGTTTGAAAAATACAGGAAAAACATTTGGTTTATGAAAATTAGACATGTTAATTCCACTTCTTCAGACATCTCTAGAAACTAAGGCACATGAATTGTTTCATTGTGCTACAAGGTGCAAGGAGGTTAATAGACAAATTTCATACCTAAACAGACCTTGTGTTACACTTTTGTCCAAAATAACTGAATGGTCACATAATGCAAGGACCTAAATAAAAGAGTACACCTTAGACATTGCTCGACGAAACAAGTAACATAATCTAGAATCAAACAATTTATTCCTACCTCCATAAAGAATGTAATAGGTTGCTGACCCAAGGATTGAGGATTTCCAATACTGCAGTATGAGATCTGCATGAATTAGAGGAATGAAAGAAAAGATTAAGACAACAATAACACTCCAGGTCACCTATATTACGCTTTGATACGGGATAGAAGAAAAATTCGTTAAGATATGCAATATTAACCCACCAGAAGTATTTTAACCCACACTACTCTGCTTTACTCGATCTGCTAAAAGATAAGAGAAGAGCCCCAACTTTGCTTATGGAATTTTAGGGAAGGAGAACGAGGAGATTCTTTTAGTGTGGGTAAAATTTGGAAGATAGGTTTTGGCGAAATCTTTTAGGGCATAGTTTTTTAGAAAAATTTTAGGGGGAAATTGTAGCGGGAACATTTAGAAAATATTTTAGAGCACGCTTATATAGAGTTGCCTTTACAAATATTAACAAGCACGCTCAGAAAGCGTTGCATCACATACGAATAAATGTTGCCAATAATGTATTAACAGAACGCTTTATAGTCGTCACCTAATAAATCGTAGTCAAAAGTTCTTTTCAAAGACCACCCTTATAAAGTGATGCCATAGATATAGTTGGCCACGCTTTTCAAGCGTTATCAAAAACTAATGTGGCCTTAGACCAAATTTGTTGTAGTGAAAGTATAAGTATAACGTCACACTCAGCTATAACAAAACCGCGAACATATCTTAATATGACAAAAATATCAGTTCCGATAATTAAGAGTATTGGACGATAACAATTAGTACTCTTTCTTCACTTATACTTTGCTGACAAACCACAGTCGAGGTGTTTGTCAATTCAACAGAGAATATCAGCAAAACTTAACTTTTACCAACTGAGCTAAGAGCTATAATAGCTTACATATTGTTACCAAAATCCTGACAAAGAAAGAAAAAAATGTCAAGTTGATATCCGAAAATCATACATAATAACCTATACAGTGCTGATGCTTTTAGTTGTGAAGCAATTTTTATTTTTATTTTTTGATGGATAAGAAACAAAGTTTTTGTCGCGTATCGTTTTGATTCTATTAGTGCTTGACATTCAAGAGTGGACATATATGTGCACAGTGGCGGACCCAGGATTTTTATCAAGCGGGTTCAAAAAAAAATATTAGAGGTCATATGTGAATAGCTGGTTTCGAACTCAAGACCATGTGGTTTCGAGGTGAAGTGCGGGACGAGGGAATACCTTCTTCGAGTTGTGACCAAACTTGAGCTGAATTACGAATAGATAGTTAATTCAAATAGGTGAGGCTTTTGAGAACTTGGCTGCTTAATGTTTTCAGATTGTGGAATAGAGCAAGGCAACTCCCAATTTTCATCAGCTAGAATCTCTTTGTTACTACCATCATGAATGATGGTTTAATATGTGAGACGGCGGAGTCTATGGGATTGAAGCATAATTGTTACTGGGGATAATGCATAAAATCCATTCCATCCTATGACCCATTTACCAACTACACACCTTTTCTTTTCGGGGGTCTTATTACCCCCCTGAACTTATTTTTACCATAATTGATTTAACATTATATGCTCAATTAAACCCGACCCCCATCTATAAGACTATCGGTGTATACACGCGCTAATGGCCCCCACCCAATTCCCCTTTATTATATCAGATCCCTTTTATTCTAAACTAAATTAAACCCATTCACTAATTAAATCCGACCCTATTTCATTATTTCCTTTCATACTCTCCCATTTTCGACGGTCCAAACCAAATTCTCAATCCCCCTCTTCGATTCCTTCCATAAAATCACTCCAATCATAATTTTCTCTTTATTCTATTGCAAAATCGGCTCTAACATAATGTAAAGAAGTATGTAATCTCTGTTTTTATGGTTTGTTTTGTTCAATTTCAGTAGGGAGTTACAATCTAGGGTTTAATTTGATACTGTGGTGTTATAGTCAAGGTCAGTGCAGAATTATTATCTATTTATTCGTCACAAACCAAGACTAATGGTTAGTTCTTTACCATCTTCAATTGATTTTTAGTAGTTTAGGGTTTTGTAAAAAAATCAGTCACTGTATAAAATTATGAGATTTTGATTTTGAAACTGAGGGGTTTGCATGTTGATTATGATACTTATACTTTGCTTTTTCGTGTTTTTACACTGATGTGTTCTTGGTGGTAAGTTTTTTAGTGCTGCCCTTTTTTCGGCAGAATAATTTTGTTGTTGGGGATTTGTCTGAATTTATTTGTTCCCTTTAACTTGTATTCAGGTATGGGTGTGTTTATATTTGTAACTTTGAGATTGTTTCATGGTTAGAGATTGAAAGCGGGGAACCAAGATATGTGGGTGGGGTAATGACAGAATATGTGAATGTTGATGTAGATACTTTATCTTATTTTGAGTTGGTGGACTATATTAAAGAACTGGGGTACAACATTTTACACAATGCGACATTATAGAAAATATAAAAAATGACAGGGAGCTTTCAAAAATTGCACAGTTCTTGCAAAATGGAGCTATTTTGAAAATATATGTCCAGCACATGAGTATAGAGGAATCTGGTTCAGCCTTTAATAAAAGGGATGGGACCATTGAAGCAAGTGTTAGTCAAAACATTGAGGTTGGTGAGGAGGCTTTAAATGGTGCAGCAGCTACTTCACCTACACCTACTGATCCAGCAGCTCCTCCAGCAGATCCAGATCCAGATTCATCCTCAACTGAGGAGGAATCTGATAACTCAAGTGAAGATAGTTCAAGTGATGAAGATAGTGATTTTTTGGTGATGGCATAGAGGATTATGGTAGTGATATACATGAAGAGTTCATAGAGTTTAGGGCTGAGAGTTCCAGAGAAGAAAAAGAAAGGAAAAAGCTCCTGCCGATCCTGAAAATATTCCATGTGGTGTAGCTGGACCAGATTTGGGATTTGATGAAACTGAAACAGGTAAAAAAGTATAGAAGGTAGGATAGGAGGTGATGAACCATATTACCCAAGTTCTGATGTTTGTAGCTTTGAAACAGGTGAAGATGAATGTTGGGTTGAAGATGGGGAAGAAGTTAGGGTAAATCTACCAAGAAGAAGATCTTCTACCAAGAAGGTGGTTTATGATCCTACAGCTAAAAAATTTGTGTGGTAGCTGGGTATGATTTTTGCAGACGTTAAAGAATTTAGAGATGCAGTAACCAAGTATGATGTTGGGTATGATTTAAAGCCCTCAGTATGCTTGGTAAGAACATAGTTGATGATCTTTTGTACTATAACAAAGAGACTTGGTATAAGGTGTATTTTAATGTGGAAGTCAAGTGTGATGCAGTAGATAATAATATGGCTAAAAGTTTTAATGCATGGATCCTAGCTGCAACGCACAAGACCATTATTACCATGCTTGAAAAAATAAGAGTCAAGATGTTAACTAGAATAGCTAAGTTAAGGGAATATGCAAATACTCGGTTATGCAACATTTCTCCAATGACATTAAAGGTCTTAGAGGAAAATATTGAAAAGTCAATGAGGTGTACAATTTTTTTAATGGAGATACAGGATATCAGGTTAAGGAGGGAACAAATCAATATACTGTTTACCTAAGAAATAATACTTGTAGTTGTAGGGCTTAGATGTTGAAGGGGATACCATGTCCACATGCCATAGCTGCAATGTACTATAAAGAGTATGAACCAGCTGCAATCCACGCCAAGTACCAGAATATAGCCCACTGGACCAACAATGATAACAAGATCAACTAATGTAACTGGTGACATTGGTTTCAAACCAAGTAATGGACTGAAATGGAAAGGGAAACCAGCAATCACAACAAGAAGGCTTCAAGAGATTAGAGGGCAACATAGAATTCAAACAAGGACTGGTGGATCAAACAACCTAAGCCAGAATAGTAGTTCTGCACATCCCCAATAGATTTGATTGTTTTTTGGTTGACTACAAGTAGACAATGTATATCCTAAGCCAGACAGTTGGTTGTTTTTGTTGACTACAATCTGGAGTTTTTATCCTATTAGAACGATAATGTATTAGTTTTTAAATGTTGCCTTAGTACATTTGATGTTTTGTTGACTAATTTTGGTGGTATTTATGAAATGTGGCAGCTATATTTCTATGAAATTTAGTGGTGTCTTGCCATTTACATAAAACCTCAGTGTGAATTATATATAAAAGTTGAAAGAATCTAGAAATCGATCATGGCAAGTGCAATTGATAAATAATTAACTTCCACATAGCATATACTAAAATGAAGTTACATACCGCAATGAAAAAAAAAGAGTTGTTACAACCATAACCAAACACTTCTAGATAATTGCTAACTCACAAAACAACTACTACTGCAGAAAGACTGCTATTACAGCTTCATTTGATCAACACATAACAACAAAGACAAAACACAATACACAAAATGAACTTCCTATTAAGCCAACACCAGGTCCTTTTCTTTTTCTCTTTTGTCCCCTTATCTTTTTCATCATCAGTCACAACCAAATTAATGTTTGCATTTTTCAGACTTTCAAGCTCAACCAACTGCATCTTGAGGCTTTCATAATGTGCCAAATCTTTTTCTATCTCTTTAATTTTGTCGAACAATCTTGGAAGAATAAACTTCGATCTTTCGTAAACTTCATTGTCCCTCCATTGAAAAAATTTGCAACTCTTGGCCTGAAAATTTTATAAATTGGAATCAATTTAATGACAACATACAAAGCTAATCAACCATAATAGACGGGTTAGAAATGAACACATACACCATAGTAGGGGCAAGACCAAAATCTTCGGCCAGGATTATGACCAAGAAGTCTGCATTTGCAGCAAAATTCCATGTTTACATCGCACTTGAACATTGAGCATTGGGTCTTCATCGTCCATACAAAGTCTATTCAAGTTGGTATTTGCCATTTTATAACCCTAGTTCCTAAAATATAAAAATTGGGGAAGAAATTTCAAACCCTAACATAAAGATTATGAAATCGAATTGACTAAAGATTAGTATTTTATACTCTATTGATTGAAACTCACCTCAATTTCAGCAGCACCAGCAGCAAAATTTCTTCAACAATGGTAGATAGCCTTTTAGTTTAGAAAGAGGGATAAGATAATGGGTTCAATTAAAATAGCTGAGTTTAACGTTTGGGACCCTTTCTTCTGGCTTATTTGGCATTACACGTGGCGATTGAATAGCAGACGAGCCTTTTAAAATTAGGCCTCACGCGCTTGGAAGAGGTGTAGTCACGGTCGAGTTTAATTGAGCATATAATGTTAAATCAATTATGGTAAAAATAAGTTCAGGGGGATAATAGGACTCCCGAAAAGAAAAGGTGTGTAGTTGGTAAATGGGTCATAGGATATGGTGGATTTTATGCATTATCCCTTGTTATTGTATAGACAATTGTTTA